ACACCAATCTCATCACGAGGACCCCACTTTCATGACCTCATCTAACCCTAATCACCTTCCAAAGGCCCCTCCTCCAAATACCATCATACTGGGGATTAGAGTTCCAACATACGAATCTTGGGGGGGACACAAACACTCAGGGCACAGCAGGTAGCCAGAATAGTCGACTTCAGAGAGACAGAAAGCAGAATGGCGGTGCCAGGGGTTCGTGGGAGGTGGGGACGGGGAGTTAGTATTTAATGGGGACAGAGTTTCAGTTTGGGAAAATGAAAACGTTCTGGAGACGGATGGTGGTGATGGTTACACGACAATGTGAATGTACTTAAGGTTGTTGAACTGTACATTTAAAATGGTAAATCTCATGTTGTGTATATTTTCCCACAGTAGGAAAAAAAAAAGAGAGTCTTTGTCAAAATGAACTAAACGTTTAAATTTTTATCAAACCACCCAGAGCACAGAGTTGTTCTCACCATCTGATAACCCAACTTCCAGCAAGCTCAGGGTCCTTGTCCTCCCCAGCTGAGTTCATGCCTCTGTTGGAGAGGATGGCCACTTGCCCACCCACTGGGTCCTGCCTAATACAGTCACAGACAGGCCCAGGGCGGAGGGAGGAGACTCAGGGAAGTTCTGAGTTTCCCCTGAGGAGGGCCGGGCAGGAGTTATTACAAACAGCACACAGGGTAGCAGTCCACTTGTGTGTGGGCATGTAGGTTTGTGTGTACGTGCACGCACATGAGTGTGCACCTATGCACGTATGGGTTTAGGCATGCAGAAAAATCCTAGTTGGCTAAGCACTGAAATGGTAACACCGATTTCTTTTAAGTAATTTATGTCTGAATCTTTTACTAAAGGGTATATCAACTTTTAAAAAATACATCAAAACGTTGAATTATGAAATGTTCCAGACACATATAGAAAAATATACAGCAAAATATGATAAAACCTATGCATCCATCAAACATGTTGTCATATTTGCTTCAGATCCTTTTTTAAAAAAGCAGAATTGAAATATTATAGATAGGGTTGGAACCCTCTCCTGTCCCATGGCCCCCCTCCAGGGAAAAACCACAATCCTGAAATTGATGCATGCTATTATATTTCCATGCGCACATCTCCATTAACAATATAGCATAAGTATTTTGTGTTTACAAATTAATTATATAGTTAATTATAATAAATTCATTTACCGTTTAACCAGATGTAATGATAATCAATATGATCATTAATAATTAACATAAGTTGATTCCACTGGATGTATAGTTTTGTCTCTGGCTTCTTACCTTCATTCTTCTTTAGCAATTTATTCATATTGACACATGCAGATCTGGTTCATGGATTGCAACCACTGAATATTATTGGTTATAATAATACAACAACAATTTGTCCATCTCCTGTTGATGGATTGATGGATTGTCGTTTCCAATTTCTGACTATCACAAACAGTGCTGCAGAGAACATCGAAATACAAGTGTCCTTGTGGACGTGTGCAAGCATTGCTCGAGGTGGAAGCCTGGGAGGCAGATCTGAATTATGCAACTGTAACTCTTCTGGTCATTGCCAAGTCATTCTCCAAAACATTGAACCCAATTTTTATCCCATCAGCAGCATATGACAGTCCTAATTTCTCTACTTCCTACCCAACATTTTGAATATCAATCTTTTCATGTTTGCAAATCAGATGGGTGTGAAATGGTATCTCGTTGTTGCGTCCCAGTGCCTTTCTCTGATTACTTGTGAAGCTGAGCATTTTCTCATATTCACTGGCCATTTGAGTTTTCTGTTACTGTTTCCATATCCTTTGCCCATATTTCTATTGATTTTTTTCTTGTTGGTCAATGGGTTGTATTGGCTTAGGAAAGAATAAAGTGGTTTCCATTTTAGGAGACAAAAAGGTATTTCCAAGTAATTTCCAAAAATATAAGGAAATAGTCATTGCAATCTCTGTCGTTCCTGGAATACACCAGGCATCCCCCTAGCTCAGATCCTCTGCCCTCGGTGCCTCTGCTGCCTGGAAGGCTCCTTCTCAAAACATCCTCAAGGTTTGATCTCTGGCCTCCCCCCAGGTTGCCTTGGGAGGGCCTTCACCAACGACCCTAGTCACGGTTTCAATCCTTCCTTGGGTCTCAGCTCTCCCTAGCTACTCCTCCCATTTCATTTTCCTGTGAAGCTCGTGTTGCTGTATGCCACATTTTCTCATTTATGGGGAATTAAAGACTGCCTTGAATTTTTAACACTTCTCCCATTGCAAGATGGGTTCTAATTTCTTCCTCCTGAATCTGGCCTGGTCTGAGTAACTTATTTGGTCAAAGTCACACAGCTAGTCATTGGCAGAGCTCAGGTGTGAATTCCCGCCTCCTGGCTCAGGAGCCCAGGTGCCCGGCTTCTGCATCGCCTCCCAGCTGGTCCCCCAGAAAAAAACAGACAACTGTGTATTCAGGGTGTAAACAGCCTGGTAGGGGGAGGGATTTTTGGCAGCACCAAACTTCTTCTTCAGAGAAAACAGAAATTAAATTCAGACAAGACGTAAAGCCTGGGATACAAACAGGAATAGAGGCGGCCAGAAGGAGCACCTCTCTCTGTGGACATCAAAGACCTCCTGATATCTAAGGTTTGTGTATAAAATGGTATATAATAACCTCTGTAATAAATTTGGAATTAACTCCTAAAATACTAAGACACTTGTGAAACAGAATATTCTTTTAAGATAGATTTCTTGGTAGTTTAATCTATTCGTTTGAGATTCCAATAAGCTTAGTGGATTTCTTCAAATTGTAGATTTTGTGTTTTCCATTGTCTGTATGCAGATTTGGAGAGAATTATTTTGTCCATCCCCTAAAATGTATAACTTAAATAATTTCTATGAAAATACAAATAGATATTTATTCTTCCTAGCGGGGACCCAGCAACTGGCCTCTCCCTGTGGGTATGAAAAGCCCCTGATATCTATGGTGTCGGGGGTGCCCAGCGACTGGCCTCTCCCTGGCGACAGTTTCGTCACTGAGATGGTCTTTCTTGGGTTTGGGAGTTTGGGGAGGAGCTTCGTTTAGTATTGGACCTCATTTCTACACTCACCAGGCTGTAAATTTCCAACTCTAGTTCATGTTTGCAAGAAGGAACATCTTTTCAAACCTCAAACGTAACTTACAGGATTATCACACAGTTTTCCCAGAAATGGAAGTTATTTGTGGATGAGGGGGGCCGAAGGTTGAGGTTGTGGCTTCTAAGATTCTAAAAGCGCAAGCAGCTCCCTGACCCAAAGCAGGGGGAGAAGATCTGAAGCCCACGTGGCGACGGAGGGAGATGTCTGTCACACGAAAGGATGGGAGTGTCTGAAGCTGACCCAGAATTTTATTTAATTCTTGTTAATCAAAAAAAGACTTTCCTGAATGCAAACCCACATTTTGTCCAGATCTATATGTATCCTAAAGTTCTGAACTTTTGATAATATATGAGTGGGCTTTTATTTCAACTCTGCACTTTCTCCCTATTCCTATATGTCCTCCTTATGGTGAGTGACGCGCAAAAATCTGCATGATAATTTCATAATTCTATTCTTTACATCAGAAAACACACATCAAACCTATCGTCCCCCCCAAAAGTTTTAGTCCATTGCTGGGACATAGTAAGTCCTCAGTACACAAGGATGGGTACCTGTACTTGACTTCCAGAACTTATAAATGAAACTGGAAACAGGAACCCTTCCCAACAAGACATTCCAGATGACTAGGGCTCTGCCAGGGACCTGCCTCTTTTTATTAAATAGTGACATCCGAATGGATTTCAGTTTTGAGCTGGTGTGTAACAGACTCTTTTTTTTCATACAAAAAGCATTCTGGGGCCTGCCCCTGTGGCCGAGTGGTTAAGTTCGTGCGCTCCACTTTGGCAGCCCAGGGTTTCGCTGGTTCGGATCCTAGGCGCAGACCTAGCACCACTCATCAAGCCATGCTGAGGCGGCATCCCACACAGCACAGTCAGAAGGACCTACAACTAGAATATACAACTATGTACTGGGGGGCTTTGGGGAGAAGAAGAAGGAAGAAAAAAGATTGGCAACAGATGTTAGCTAAGGGCCAATCTTTAAAAAAAAAAAGCATCCCGTTCCTTTTAGAGACTGCATTTACCTTTTTTTTGGTGAGGAAGATTGTCCCTGAGCTAACATCTGTGCCAATCTTACCTTATTTTGTGTGTGGGGCACCACAACAACATGGCTTGATGAGTGGTGTTCAGGTCCGTGCCTGGGATCTGAACCTGCAAACCTGGGGTGCCAAAGCGGAGCACACAAATGTAACCACTACACCACCAGGCTGGCCCCTGCATTTACTTTTTAACAGCTGTATCATGCGATTGTAGTGAAAGACCCAAGGAACCAGAGACTTCGGGAAGGGCAGAGGGTGGGTTCCCAGGGCTAAGACTTTATTTTTGTTTTCCATGCTCCTTTCTTCAGCTAACTTGTTCTCTTGACTGAGTAGGTGGGATAATCAGAGAAGACTGATCACAAAGTGCCAAGTTACTCAAGAGATAAAGACTGGAAGGAAGATGGGCAAAAGGATATTAACTCATTCTTATTGTCCTTTCCAAGACCATGAAGGAGAAACATCTGTTGGTATTTTAATAGAAATTAGTAAATCATACATCTTAGAGAAGGGGCAAAATAACTCTCTCCCAGATCTGCCTCCAGACAACAGAAAACTCAAAATCTACAATTTGAAGAAACTCATCTAGCTTATTGGAACTCCAGATAAATCAAATTCTATCAAGAAAGCTATCTTAAAAGCATATTCTGCTCCCAAAATGTCTTAGTTTCTTAGGAGGTTCATTCCGAACTCATGACAGAAGATAACAGAAGCTATTTTGCCCCCGTTCACTGTTATCTCTGAGTGCGGGGTCACGTTCCCGCTTACCCGGGACATCTGTTGGAGTTAATAAGTGAATGGAGAAAGAGTCGTCTGAGCCAACAACCCCCAGCCTCTGCCTAGTGGCTTCCCCAGTTGAGGACTTACGCTTGTTGGCTTTCAGCTTCCTCTCATCCACGGGAATGAGGTCCAGGTAGTCCAGGTAATATTCGTAGCTGTAGAATGGGGCGGAGGTGTTGGTCTGGTTGGCCATGTCTGCAGCGCACCTGGAGCTCCTCGGAGCCCTACGAGGAGACGGCCTCACTGATTTCTGTAAAACCATCCAGTGTGTCTGTGGGTCTCCAGGCTCAAGGCCTGCCCACTTATCAGAGCCGTGGACTGGGAGAAAGGTCGGGGGTGGGCCTGACAGCTTCACTATGCAAGCAGAGCTCTCCATCCCGCCCCTCCTTGAAGAAACTCCAAAACAAACAGAGCTGCAGGGCGGGAGACCATGCGTCTAGCACAGCTCTAGATTTGTCCCTCTGCCAAGGACAGGAAACACATACCTGGGGCCCCTTGAAAGACAAGATGCCAGACAGGGCTGGAAAGGACAACCCCTTTGGGTCGTAAATACCTAAAGAGTTAATAAAACCAAAACGAAAGGCTGGTGGTGCCCTTGACTTACATTAAGGCAATACTTGATGCTATTAAGCAACCGGCAAGTCACTGGCTTAGGTTCAACATCTGAGGGCAGAAGTTGAGTGATGTTGGCCCTGAACTTGTAACCTCTCTCAAGTACACATAGTCAATTAATTAAACGAAAAGAACACCCCTGCCCCAATTGAGCACACCTCCCAGGTTTTATCTAAGCCCCCAAGAACCAACCAGTTGGTGCATTTGTTCCGACTGAAGAGGCTGTTTGCCCAGGCCAACATCCCAAATGGATTGAGCTCTTGGGAAATTGGGCCCCAGGGCTCACTCAGCGCTTGGATGACGACAAGTGTGACGAGGATTCTTCTGGGTTTCTGTATGGCCTGACTCCAAGTGATACACCCACTCTTCTAAGATCCACAGATCCTATCAAGAGAAACATTCCAAATATTTGTAATGAGCAGGACTAAATGTGAGAGGAACCCTAGAATTTAGCCTTTGAGAATTAGTTAGGGAAGTCAAAATACACAGAATTATGGGCCCTTCCCCTCCAATATACTAACTTTCTAGTGTTCTTGATTCAGGTCTAACCGGCGGGAGTAAAGCTGGGCATTGATAGTGTAGACAGCCAACCCAGATAACTTAAGGCCCTCTGCTGGATTTGATCCTGTGCACCCAGGCTGCTGTGCCTGAGGCATTCTGCGGGGACTGCTCCCCTTGAACTGAACTGAGGCCGTTCAGTTGATTAGCAAGGGAAGAATGAGCTCTTAGGTTTCCAAAGTGAAGGGTTAAAAGGCCCGCTTGCAAAGACACGCCACACACTCTGCACATACCTGTGTACTTCCAGATATTGCTGTATGTGTCACTGGGGAGGTAGAGCATGGGGGACACGAGCACGGATTCTGGAGCGACTGCCTACTTCAAATCCTGGCTCTGCCTCTGACCAGCAGTGTGGCCCTGGACAGATGACTTAATCTTAACAATATTTGCATAGTTTAAAAAGCATCTCCGCTAAGTTGTTTTTTAGTTACTCAGAGGAAAACAGTAACCTTACAATGAAGAAACCCAGCAGACGCCATCTTAAACAAGTGGTCAAGGTTAACATCATCAGTAATGAGGCACCGTGACATCATGTACCCACTGAGAAGGGCAGTCACCTCAGAAGCCTTCCTTCTAAAATGCATAAGCTCAATCTAATTGTGATAAAACACCAGGAAAAGCCAAATCGAGGGACATTTAACAAAATAAATGACCAGTATTCTTCAAAAGGGTCAAGGTCATGAAAGTTAAAGAAAACCTGAGGAAATGTCACAGATTGGTGCAGACAAGAGAGACATAACTTTCGCTGTAAGTAAATTTTACCTGACGTGCAAACAAAATAAATACTGTTTAGAAAAGTGTAATTTCCCCCCAAAAAACCCCTCAAGTCAATTGCCTCTTCCTAAAGGAATTTATCTGTAGATTGTGGGAATGTACATTTCAGTTCAAGAGTTGCCCTGAGCTAACACCTGCGCCAATCTTCCTCTATTTTGTATGTGGGGCGCCACCACAGCATGGCCATGGATGAGTGGTATAGGTCCGCACCTGGGAACTGAATCTGGGCTGCCAAAGTGGAGCACGCTGAACTTAACCACTAGGCTGGCCTTACACTTCAAATTTAAGGAATTATCCTTCCTGAGTACAGTGCATCTGGAAGGTATGGTTGAGTTCTGCTTGAGTGCACCAAGGATATCACCAGCCCCACCTGTCAGATGATGTGGAACTTCATCTCTTTCCTGTGGCCCGCCTCCCGAGAAGTGGGGCTGGGATGTGGAATAAACATTGACCCTAACTCTTAAGATATAACACAAAGATTCTGGGGGGCCGTTACTCAAGTGCAGGTTTCAGAAGTTCATAGATGTTCCTAAAGGTCATCAAATTCGTGTAATTAAATCTATGGAGTGAAATTAGGAGGTTGGTTGTGGTTTAGGGGAGGATTTTCTCATCTTTATGCAACCTGTTTAAAATTGAAATATTATAGATAAATTTACCTTTTTCTTCCTTTCCTTCCGTATTATTCAGGGTTTTCCAGAGAAACAGAGCCAATAGGAGGATATATATATATTTTATTGGCTTGAGCTTAGGGCAGCAGATATACATACATACGTACATATATTCATACACATTATATATAAAATGAGACTTAGTATAAGGAACTGGGTCATGCAATTATGGAGGCCAAGAAGTCCAGCAATCTGCTGTCTGCAAGCTGGAGACCCAGGAAAGCCATTCACGTAGTTTGAAGGTGTGAGAATCAGACAGGAAAATATCAACGTCTCAGCTCGAGAAGTCAGGCAGAGGGCGAATTCAATCTTTTTGTTCTACTCAGGCCCTCAATGAATTGGATGATGCCCACCCACTTTGGGGAAGTCATCTGCTTTACTCAGTCCACTGATTTGAATGCTGATCTCTTCTAGAAATACCCCCATAGACATCCCCAGAAATAGTGTTTAAACAGATATCTGGGCATCCTGTGATCCAGCCAAGTCAACACATAAAATTAACCATCACACCTTCTTTCCTTCCTTCTTTTCTTCCTTCCTTCCTTGTTACATTTTCCAGTTGAACATAATTTAATTCCATTTGTTTGGAATTTTGACTTCTACCTGACAAAATACTGATTGCCAAAATAAATTTCTTGGTCTGATAATAATCTGGACTTTAAAATGCCCATGAAAGTGCCATGGCAGAAAAGCAGATTTAAAAAAAAATTCCCCTTTTGACATTAGTAAGAACTAATACCCCTGTGAAGGTCAACACTCTGAGGTAATAATGACATTTATTTTAACAAATACCTCGACGGTCAACAGGCTTGACTGTTGGCATTGTTTTTCTCCCCACTTTAATTTATAACCCAAAGCATGAAGGTGAAGTTGAGTTTTCTAGAGTGTTTTCTTTTACAGTGAATGTGCACACTTGTTGGCTATCATTACGACTACAGCTGAGTACAGGGGGGAGGGTAAAAGGGAGAGATCTAGAGAGCGGAACAAACATTTGTTGATCAGTGGCCTGAGCTGGCCACTGTGCTAGGCGCTTTATGTGATTCTCACAATATTGTGCCTCAGGTGTTGGGAACCCCATTATCCAAGCACAAAGCTGGCATACAGCCAGGTGGGGCAGCCTTCGTGCTCTGCCCAGTACCCCTGGGATGTGGGTTGTACTAGTGTCCCATGGCTGCCGTAACAAATTACCACAGATTTGGTGGCTTAAAACAACACAGATTTATTATTTCACCACTATGGAGGCGAGAAGTTCGAAATGAGTCTTAGGGGGCTAGTATCAAGGTGTTGCTGGGGCTGGTTCCTTCTGGAGGCCCCAGGGAGGATCCGTTTCCTTGCCTTTTCCACCTTGTGGAGGCTGTCCCCCTCTTTGGTTTGTGGTTCTGCATCTCATTGCCTTTTTTCCGCCTTGAGTCTGTTGTCACCTCGCCTTTTTCTTCAGCAGTTGAATCCCTCTCTTCCTACTTCTTATGAAGATGCTTGTGATGACATTGGGCCCTCCCAGGTACTCCAGGATAATCTCCCCATCTCAAAATCCTTAACTTAATCACTTCTGCAAAGTCCCTTTTGCCAAATAAAGAAATAGTCACAGGTGCCGGGGGTTAGGATGTGGCTATTTTGGGGAGTTATTAGTCAGTCTATCACAGGGGCAAACGATGTCGTGATGTGGGTATTCAAATCCTAAAAATAAACACAGCACTTCTCTCTGGAGTGTTCATCTTTGTCAAAGATTTTTGGCATAGAAGTCACATTTTCATATTGAAATAAGCAGAGGTATATAACACAGTAAAGGCAAAATTTGCATGATTTTTGTAAAAAAATAAATTTTTATCATAGACAATTTCAAACATTTGCAAAAGCAGCAAGAATAGCATAATGAAACTCCACGTAACCATCACTCAACTTCAACAATGACCAAGTCGTAGCTAACTTAGTTTCATCTGTTCCTTCATCCACTCCCCCCATTCTGGACCACTGTGAGGCAAATTCTAAGTTTATCATTTCACCTGTAAACATTTCAGTATGTATCTCTGAAGGAGGATTCTTTTTTTAAAAAATAAAACCATAGGGGCTGGCCCTGTGGCCGAGTGGTTAAGTTCGCGTGCTCCGCTGCAGATGGCCCAGTGTTTCGTTGGTTCGAATCCTGGGCGCGGACATGGCACTGCTCATCAAACCACGCTGAGGCAGCGACCCACATGCCACAACTAGAAGAACCCACAACAAAGAATATACAACTATGTACTGGGGGGCTTTGGGGAGAAAAAGGAAAAGAAAATAACTAAATAAAAAAAATATAAAACCATAATATTACCATCCCACCTAAAAGTTAACAATAATTATTTAATTGCATCAAATATCTAGTCAATGCTCAAGTTTTCCACTTGTCTCATAATTTCTCTTATAATTAATTTGCTCAAATCAGGAACAAATAAAGTGCATGTGTTGCAATTGGTTGATAGGACCCTGGAAAATTGTTAAATTTATAGGTTTCCTCCTCCTACGCTCTTTTATTTGACCTTGCAATTTATTTGTTGAGGAAATGGGTTATTTGTCCCGAAGAGTTTGCCAATTGGATCCTGCGGTGGTGTTAGTCATGTTCCCCATTCCCTGTATTTCCTGGAAAATGAACTTAGATCTAGAGGCTGGATCAGATTTAGGTTCAGTTTTTTTGGCAAGAAGACCTCAGAGGTGGGGTGCTGTTCTTCCCTCCAGAGGCACACAATGTCCGCTTGTCTCTATTTTTGAGTGAGACTACTAGCCAGTGCTGACCACTGCTGAGGTCCTTCAGTACATTTAGCATTGTAAAATGCTGATCTTACTCTATCATTCCTTCTTCACTTATTAGCCACTATCCTTCTAACAGGAAAAAAAAATCAAAACCCTCCTTTATAAACTATTTGGTTACCTGAAGGACAGTTCATATCAAGTAGACATAAATGTTGATTTACTTTTTTGTGTGCAGTTTTCAAAATAATGATTGGGGGGGGGGCGGGCCCCATGGCTGAGTGGTTAAGTTCGCGCGCTCCGCTGCAGACGGCCCAGTGTTTTGTTGGTTTGAATCCTGGGTGCAGACATGGCACTGCTCATCAAGCCACGCTGAGGTGGCATCCCACATGCCACAACTAGAAGGACCCACAATGAAGAATATACAACTATGTACTGGGGGGCTTTGGGGAGAAAAAGGAAAAAAAAATAAGTAAAATCTTTAAAAAAAAAATAAAAATAATGATTGGGTTTTCTACCATCCTCTAACAGTAAACAAGGAAAGCTTATTTTTTAATCATTATGAACTCATGCATTTAAACCTATTGACATGTTCCAACTCATTACACCTATTATCTTTACTGATATGTAAATTACCTCATATTTGGACAGTGAAGGCCTCTTCATGTTGGTTACATTAGTAGCTTGTTTTGTATTTTATAACTTCCTTGCTTTCTGGAGTGATGAGATGTTCCAGGCTCATTTTGCATAGTTCTCACCCCAGACCTTGGATTCAGCCATTTCTCCAAGGAATCCTGGTTTCTTTCAGTAGGAAATGATATTTAGTGACCATAATCTGGGTGCTCAGGGTGCTTATTGCTACTGTGTTGGTTACAATGTTGAGGCCTATTCAATGTAGAGAGCTAGGAAATATTTCTTTTTTAAGATAAAAACACTGTGAGTTCATATTGATACTTCCAATTCAAAAGCACAACCACAGAGTTTTTACTTAACCTTATCTTCCTTAGCTGTATCTCTGTTATCCAAAACTTAAAATCCTGTTCCCAACAATACTGACATAATTATTCAATATACAATATAAAGACAAAGAGTCTCAGAATAACACTATCAATATCAACAACAAGAACAACGATTACGGAAAACAATTTAAAATCTTTTCTGAGGGGAGGCAGGTT